GAGTGAAAATTACCCTATGTGAGAAACAGAAAATGCTCATCCAAAGCCAGTCTCATTTTCTCAAAACAAAAAAGCAATAGCCCCAAACCCCATTCCTGACCCTCTTTTCTCAGAATACACTGTTATTACTTCCATTTCTCAACAATGGTTCACTTCTTGTACAAAAATTGTATTTCCAGTGACAACAGTGCACTTGAACACGTGTACAGAAACTCCATTCAGCAGCATCGCGTAAGAAGCAGGTGCCTCAGCAACTGTAACTAGAACATCCACATCTGTAAACACACACGCAAAAGTTTTGATGGGGCAGTGACACCTGGGTATGTCCCAGGGTGAGATGCGGTTGCCCCTGCTGACAGATGCAGGACTTACACTGCCCTGTTGTGCTCTCTCTAACTAGGCTGTCGCTTTGGTTCTGCCGACTGCCGTGAAACTCCGATTCAGTGCACTTCCATGATGAGATCTTTATCCTGGTCCTTCTCAGAAATGAGTATTAGCTAGCAATGTATGCAGGAATTCAACCCTGAAGCCTTTACAATCTGTTTAGGTCTGCAGATCGCATAACATTAGTTTTCTCTGTGTTCTTTGAGGCTGTAAAATTTCTCGAGCAGTATTTCATCATGTATATGTTTGGGTCTCTATAGATAATGATGGCCAGAAAAAAAATGAAGGGGAACATAAGCTTTGTACTGGAATTTTATCTATTGCCTATTGTGGCAAAAATGGTGCCTTGGTAAACATACTGTACTGGTGATGAACTTGCATTTAATTAAATGAAGTGGACCATATGGTGCAAAATGCTGCTGTTCTGCTTGTTTGTTTTGCGTACACTTACATCCTCTGCTTTCTGATACTGTATGATGCTGGGAAAGGTATTAAGTTGGTTAATATAAAATTTCTGATTTATAATGCAAGATCTGCATTTTGGTGGATAAATGTTTGCATCCATAAATAATTAAACTTACAGTTTTTCTTAGGAATGAATTGATTGACTGTGTCTTGATATTTACATCTGTAACGTTGCATTTGCAAGGACAAACATGAAGGCTGGGCTGGAGGTTGGCTGAAAATCTGGTCTTGCATATTCTATGAAAAATATTACTCAAATTTCTCACAGGTGAATAAACTGCATGCATGGATGAATCTAGTTAATTCAATGGTTTAATAAACCTAGAATCCCAATGAGGCTATAACAAATCCCCCTGACGTCTTGGAGTTATGAGAAAGATGTATAAAATTATATGCAAGCAGAAAAGCTCTTTCTAAATCTGAGGAGTCTTTTGCACATTTTTTTTTTGTTCTGTTCACTACACGAAATAACTTCTTATCTGTGGCTCAGTCATGATAAGGTATTAGATCAATAATTGTTTGAGGGCAATATCTGGGGTCAATTTCCATCTGACTAGATTTTTTTTTCCTTTGGATAGTCTGTTTTTGAAACAATTCTGCAGCACTAAGACAGATGCCTCTCTCTTAATGTCTTTGGGAAAGATGCTTAGCTTGAAGTGGAAATTTCTGCAACTCCCTTGCCAGGGAGCAGCACCTTGTCGTAAGCTGCCCCGTTTTCAGATGTTAAACACATGTGGGTCCTGGACCAGAACCAGTTCTCTAGTTGAAAACACAGGAATTGCCAGCTGACTAGAACTGACTGATTTAGCAAAACAACTGGAATATATAATATAACTGTATGAATGCTAGGTTTAAGGTCATTGAACTCTGAACTATAATCTGGACAACTAAGCAATGTGAAGCCTGGTCGGTTCTTGGATGCTAAACCTTCCAGGAAAGAACTATCATACAGGAAATAATAATTCCGCAGTAGGTTTCTTTTGCTGCGTTTTGATACAGAACCAAAACCCTAGGTTAGTGATCGTGTTGCTCTTGTTATTTTTTCAGTACCATGTATGTGTTTGCTATTTTACAGGCATTCACAGAGACAGGATACCCACTCCAAGAAAACCAGAATATGTTGGAAGGGGTATATGTTTTCAGGTGAAAAATAAAGCAGATACTGTGACTACACGTTAGCATGGTAAGATCCTACCATATCTTCAGGAAAAGGACTCTGTTGTTTTTCACAGCTTCTGAAACGGGGAACAGTTCTGCCTTTGTTTTCCACTGGACTAAATAAAAAAGCAGGTAAAGCAATGCTGAGTGATGTAAACCTCCTCTTTTCTCAAAGATGCACATGTAATTTTACAAATATACTTGGAATACAGTAGCAGAAACTTATATGCAAAATTTTCAATTAGCGAAATTCTGTGGAGTTGAGAGGAAAAAATAATGAAGCTGAAGAAAAGGGTGACTGATAAGAAAACTTTCCACTGAATGTACTCCTGTATAAAATTGTAATTTTATTAATAGGTGAGGGAGGATAAAATGCACAAAATGGTAGCTAAATATGTGGAAAGTCTTATACTGTGTCCTGGTTTAGAATATCATAAATATATGAAATTGGGATGCAGCTGAATTGATTGAGATCTGATATTCATTATACTTCAGCACTGCTGGCAGAATCCCTTCTCACCAAACGTGCATAACATGCTTTCTTAGCACTTTCACAAAGCCTTGAGTTTATAATGACAATTAAAGTGCATCTTTTCCAATAATTACACAATCTGAATTTGGTCGGTGCTAATAAGCTTTAAGAAAACTTAAATTCCACATTTTAATACCAGAAATCCACTTAATGATAGGTAATCTCTGGCTCTGCATGTCACCTGTATTAGCATTTATATTCCTCATTGAGTCTGCAATATAATTTTCTATTTATTGTCCTGAACATCCTTCTAATATATACCTGCAATCTCATGTAGGCCATGGCTGGCAACCAGCCAAGCTCTTAATTTATCTTTGCCTTATCTTGTTTAGCCCACGGAAAGAGAGTGGCGGTGTGAATAGCAAACATTCTACGGGAAGGGCCAAGGTGACAGCCTGAACAAGCACCAGCTTGTTGTCTTCGTCGTTATCGTCTTCATAGGATTCTGTTAGAAATGAAGACCTGATGTGCCTCCCCATTTCTGGAGGCTGGGTACTGGCCTGCAAAACTCGCTTCTTCAGCGGAAAGAGCTTATCCAAGAAGGCAGTGCCCTAAATTCTGCTCTGTTCACCATTTGGAAGAGGCAGCCAGGTAGAATTTATTTCTCTCAGGAATTTTTCTTTTGCTGATTAATTGTTTTCCATACTAGGCTATTATGTTGGTAAAATATTTATAGCCATTATGATGAAAATTGCCAGGAAATGAATTCGCACAGTCTTGCTACTTTTTGATTTTATTTTTTTTTTCCCAGGACTTTGAAACACTGCTGTGGCTTTGGCTTGCCTCTCTATTCTTGCTATCCTTTTCTGTCACACTCAGTAATTGGCCTAATAAAAGGCAGAAACAAGAATTTAGTACACCTTGGGCAATACTTGAAACAAACTTTATTTGCTGGAGCAGCACTTTTTATCTGTGCGCTGCTGTATATTTTGACATTCCTTCTAAATATTAAATTTGACTTTATTAAAAGTTAAATCTTGGCTTTTTTGTGATTGCTGCTGTTTTTGCAGTTTCTTAGGCAGGCTGGTACATATATAAACAGAACATTTTAATGAAGCTTGTGGAGAAACAATATAAGATGTGGCTATATCTACTTTGTTACTGCCAGAATCCACAAAAATGGTATGAATTAAAAACGAGCTTCTGTAATACCTTGTAAATTAGGCTTGGAATAATTTCTGTGATGAATTAAGAGAACAAAGATGAGAACTACTCAACTTCCCATACCTTTTCCAAGCTTGGGATTTGATGAAATCTTCCTCAAACAAATGATGCCCTTTACGTTTAAAATTGTTTGCAAAAATAATGACAGTAGTAAAAATAAAATCAGATTAGATTGTTATGATGTAATTTCCACTGTTGAATCCGTTTTTCTTCCACGTACTAGGTGGTAAAACGATCAACTTTTTTTTTGTTTTCTAAAAAGGCTTTAAGAAATAGCAATACGTCATCCTGGAACTGTTTATGCAGGAATTTTTATTCTTTGAAATCTTCCAGTGTTAAAGCAACAAGAAAACATTTAGAATGTCCTTTGGTGGAATCTTATTACACTCGTTATATATGTAAACTGATATTCTTTGATGCCAGCACGTTGCCCATACAGAGGAATCTCTGCACAATTAAATGAAAGGAAAAAGAAAAGGACTAAATAAAAAGTAATATTTTTCTCTTATCTGATTAGAATTAAATACATTAACAAATTGTCTGGTAACACAAATAGGCAATAATACAAAAAATCTACATTGTACATTATTTCAAGAAAAATAACTTCATTTGAATACAAAAGGATAAATACACTTTTTGTTCTATAGCCACTCTTGTACAGTAGGTGAACACAGCATCTTACTGATGCAGTGCTGCTAAGGTATACAAGGATATGACTGGCTTGAGTTTTATTGAGGGGGCTGTTACACATGTGCATCACTAACATCAGACAAAGAAATCTTTCAACCAACAAGGGTTACAGAGCAATGTTCACTAAAGCACAGGTTGGAAAGGATTCGGGGACTGAAGCAGGCCAATATGGCAGCTTTTACAGATTTCCTTATACCCACAATGCACTGACAGCAAAGAATGCCTTTATTTGGTCGGTCCACACACCGGGCGGAGGTACAGTAGCGCACCATATAGGAGTAGCAAACTTTTCTTAAATTCTCCTCTCATTCTGGGGGCTGTCAAAGCCGTTTCAGTCCTGTGTAAGCTTTGCAGCTAGCATTGACTTGGCAGAATAGGCAGCTGCCGACCTGCCTCGAGCCAGAGGTGAACAGTCTTGACTCAGAGCCCTGTCCGTAACTGATTCATATGGCTTAGTTCAGTTAGGCCTTCTTAGTTTGTAAGCGGTTATTTTTTCTCTCTTGTTTCCTTTTGGAATTTCAGTAGCAAACGCTTGGATTTTGTTTTGTTTTCATGTGGCACGTTCATTTGAAGCAGTCTGAATGTGATGCCATCAACCATACGGAGTCTAGCATATGCAAAGTCCAGTTGCTCCTAGTAGAGCAGTCAGCAGTAATAGAGGCCCGTGTGATATTGCCCCCTGGCCAGAGTTTTGGCTGCAGCCTCCTGGATCCCTTTCACACTTCAACTTCTCGCATAAAATGCCAGTGTAAGCCGGAGGGCACTGGCATCGCACATTGTTGATGCATGTTCCTCCGTTCTGGCAATGCAGTAGTTCATTGTCACATACATTTGCTGCAAGATAGCAGGGGAGGGAGGGAAAGAAAAGCAGAATAAATATAAGTTCATCTACAGGAGAAACTCTGCACTAAAACCAGGATTAGAACGCTACCTCCCCCCTCTTCCTGAGACATGTAAACAGGGGATGTGGTTTTTTAAACACTTCAAGTTTGAATTTTTTTTATTTGATACGTTCTCATCCTTTTTTTTTTTTTTTTTTTTTTTTTTT